CACGTCCGCGCCAAGATCTAGCGCTAGATCCCCGTGGTGTTCGCAGTTGACGACCCCTCCCTCGTTACCTCTTCCTCCTTGTCAATTATCGGTATTGGCTCGGCATTGCCATTCTTTCTTCAGCGATTTCCACTGCGTCCAGAAAATCTTTCTTCTCCTACCTTGCAGCTCCACTTCGTACACAATATAATACTGTATATTAATGTCCGCATACATCTTGTCATTGCATCAGACATGATGAAATTTATAGTTGGTTCACGATTAAAATTCTTACATTGTCAAGGAGATGTTACACGAAGAAACCCAAGTTCGGTATAGGAGAGGAAAATGAGGGGCATCGGAGGATGTAGAAGCCAAAACGTGGTGTATAGGGAAGCGCTGCCGATGGAGCGATTGCAATCGAGGTCCGTCCGTCCGTGCTGAGCGCTGATGTCGGTAGGCTGTAAGAAGGTACGCGCGAGGGTGGTGAACTTGAAAAACCAGACCGAGCGGTGGTTGGAGTCTTGGTAGGCTGTTCAGGCCCAGGGACCGCCGATCTATGTACTTCGGAACGGTAACAGGGCAATACATCCTATTCGCTTGGCTACAACTTGACTATCTGATAAGTAACGTATTAAAATTAAAGTTGCCCTCTAATTATACTTTCGAAGTGCTTCGACTCCTAAATATTAATATTATTGACAACCCGCAAATTGTCAAGACAAATGTGCTGTGCTGTGGGGTGAGATAACGGAAATAGGTATACCCGATACACTCTGTTTTGGGGTGTTAGCTTGCGCTTGCGTCCCAATGCAGCGCTCACCTCCTTCGCTCGTCACTCAACATACCATTCACCACCTACTTCCCTCTCCCACTCATTCGTTTCTCGTGCCCATGATTTCGCTGGATATGAGGTGTCGGGATACTTCTCGCACATGAATGCGTTGAGGCGGGAATAGATGGCAATTGCATAATATATCTTCTCGCATTTGGCGCGGTTCTCTGCACGGTAACAAACATTGACAAGGACAAGAGTGTGAGGGTAATAACAAGGCTTCGAACACCTCCGAGTCGTCAGCTGCAAATTTGCCTCTGACCTGCCCGCGTAGTAGGAACAGCGGCGTTGATGATGAACAGGACAACGTCAATGTGAACCGCAACGACGATTTATCTACACGGTAGTCGCCACCTAAAGCTTAAACCTCAGTATACAACTGAGTCGAGTTGTTCATCACCCGTCTCTTTATTTTCCAGAATACCTGCATCTGCGCTCATCTAATTCCCAAGCCAGGTCATCAGTGCAGGTGTCCTCTGCCACATCAAACTCCACTCGTGCGTCACACCCACGACTCCTTACTTATCTGATCTCCAGATTAGCAGCGTTCCCAAATTAAACAAAATCCGCACAATCCACTCAAGGCTTAATGTCGACGGTCCCTAGGGATCCCTGATCAGCGTCGCGGTATGATGCGTCTAGAATAATGAGGTCAGCAAAATGTGACTCTGGTTCAAGACTGATCCACCTGCTTGCAAGTCACGAACATCGCCTTATCACACACCATGTGCTTCATTAATCAACCTTGTTATGGGGCCCCATAGGGCTCCATCAATCACGACGGCGTCGGGTGCCTGTAGTCACAAGGTCATGGTAAACGATTTTGTGACCGAAAGTTCCATCCCAATCAAGGTAATCAGATTGATGATCATGATACCGTGACAACACTAAATTCATCAGCGAGAAAAGATCGAGGGTGCCTGACGTTCAGTGTTGGTGTAAGTAATCTACCACGAAGTAGTAGGTACTTTGAGTTGCCTACTACTTGGTAGTAATTTACGGACGAGACCGAACGAACCTAAGAGTTGCTGTGGCGTGGCGCCCTCGTCGATCACATCATGGTGCGAGTCAGTATCAGTGATAAAGTCCGAGGGCGTTGACACCAAACTATGTCGTTCCGAAGTAGAACGTTCTAGGGATCCCTCATGCCAATGTCTCGGGCTTCTCTGGAGCCAAACGCGGAGTTGTTTTCGACTCCACCGGCTCTTTCTGCAGGTCGATACCAGCCCATGCTCCCAGCTCGGACTTATCAGATCAGACTTTTCTGGACCTATTCCATCAAAATTCTGGCACTGATCAAGCATTCATATAGCACTCTACAGCCTTCTACGCCCAGATGCAAGTGATAGACTTTTTGTAGGCAACATACTGCGGACTATCATTATGAAGCGCTTAAATCAAGAGGAGTTGAAGGTAAACGACGAAGAATCTGAACTGAAATACCAAGTTCTCATACTCCTTAGACACTAGACTGACGGGCCGCCATTCATGTCGGTAAGTTCCGCTCGGACGTTATGTGTATATACTTGCTAGTCACTGGTCGTCGCATCACTGATCGGACATATGCCTATCTCGACAGTGTCAAGCTCAGAAATTCGGCTCATCACACAGCATTCAAACCTGTGCGTGTAGAAACATGGTAACTGATGTATACCCCGGAGGAATCTGCGAAGTGCAGGAGCGATAACATTGGATGGCGCTAGAACGACTGAGATAAAATGATGTCAGCGGATATTGCTGGTGTAAGTAGTCTTCAAAAGGCAAAGTATGAAATGGACTAACGTATCGGAGGCTTGTAAAATTACAAATGGTAACAAAACGGCGGCCCCTATCGCACATGTAGCACAGATGCATCGATGAAGTTGCATATGCGTGCGGTGTTAGACCAGAGAGATGAACGTTCTCGTTTTTAATATACTACACAGCCTAGGGGGAATCCCAGATAGAAGTTGTGCGAAGAGATTTAAATTTGTTGGCCTTGGGCCTCGAGACTATCAGAATTCTCAGAATTGACCTTTGTGAATATCCGAGGCAAACGTTGGGTCTGATAGGCTTAAATTAGAACTGTACTACGTGCACTGAATTCTAGCCTAGAGATTGCAAGTCAAGCCTTGAGGCAGCTCAGACTAGGAAAGGCTTCAACATAATTTTTAGAAACGACAAACTCAATTCTGATGTTCTAGGGTCGCCGTGGAAGAAATATGGGGGTCCGAAAAGGCGTATGATACGGCAAAGTTGGAAAAGTATTTTATTTAGGTTTGCTTCAGGATGAGGCGACCAAATCTCGCGACCGCGTGGTACGTACGTTTGGCCAGAGTCAGTGTTACTTGAATACGTTGTCTTTATCTGATTATGATGCTATGTTTCGCGCTGAATATTCTTCCTTGTGTTATTTTTGCCGCTTGCAGTAAGTACCCGGGTCCATGTTATCGCGGTAGCGAGTCGGACATTCAATTACGCGCTTCTTGTCACCATTGAGTTGATGACATCACAACAGACCTCACCCGGGCCAGTGCGAAGAGACCGCCCGATTGCGTACCCAACACCGTGCCCATGTCGAATTGCATAGGCCCTCGAGCAAGCCATCTCAAGAACTTGAACCTGTTGAACAACCAGAAATGCGTCAAACCTCCTTGAACAAGCCCCATGATCGCATCACATGTATTCATGTTTTGCCTACCAATGGCGATCGGTCCCCGGTTCCAACCGACAATAAACACTGATCAGAAAAAAAATCGTACGTTTGCACCAGGAGCTCAAATTCGGTGCGAGTTCAGCGCTCAGCGTTCAACGTCCGACATTTATTAAATATTACTTTCTCCTCATGTTTGGCGCGCGCCGCCACTGACCGGAACGGTGACTCTCCGGCGAGTCCGGAGGTTTGGACAGGCCGAATTGAACCTTCTAGCTCACTGCGGCATTCTGAGATCATATCATGATGACACAGTAGAGATAGAGCCACGAACCGTTGGGCCAACGTGCGTTACGATCGAATATTAGTACGTCAGTTTATGTTGCCTACCAATCGACTCACCTGGATCGCACCGCATTCTTCGCCTTGCAAACTTATCACCATGCCCTTCACAGTAAGAGCATTGTTCGACCTCACTGGCTACTAGTGGGGTACGACTTTCCCTTCGCGGTACTAGTAATTCATGTGATTAGTAGCTTAGGATTTCTTGGGCTGTCGGCAGCCTACCGTGTGGCGTTGCGTACGAGCGACGTTGCGAAAAACACCTTGTTCTATGCATTGCTAGGCCTACTGGCTGGTACACAGCGCAGGTTGTGTCATCTTCATATCGTAAGGGACGGAGCATTTGATACCACGGAACCGATTAGCGTCGACACCATGTGCGTTCTCCAGAGTAAGCACGCGATCACTTATGAAAGGTGAGCTTGAACAAATCCGGGTCAGTGCCCATAAGACTTTGCATTCATGGATGACTCCTGCCAGACTGGCTGTTGAACATCTTGGACCTTCATCCATTAACATAACTCAGAGAACGGCGGCATGGGCGATGTAAGGTGAAGAGATAGAGCCCTGTCGTTTCTAACTTCGCCTGATGAAATGTCCAAGGGTGTACTGTAAGCCCGCTATCCATCAACTACTATATACTGCCTATTTACAGGAGTCAAATGAAAATCCCGGAACGCATAGGATTTGTCGATAGTTCGAGTGAAGGAAAAAGTGCACCGTATTCTGCTAGCTGTCCATCCGTTGTCACCACTCCACCACTAAAGATCAGGCTCTCCAGGCGACACTGCGACCGTGTCAAGAACGCCTTAAAATATGCCATTGGCCTGTAATGCGAGCCTCGAATGCACGCAGATTGGGGAGTGTGATGGCTTCGAATTTATTGATCGAGTTCACATGTAAATTCCCAGATATGCGAAAGGTTTGAAGTTTAGGATGGACGAATGCTTTTGGGGTCTGGATTGCCGTGAATTTTCCAACTATCGTCAAGGACGAGAGATTGGGATACCGACGGAGCAACTGGGAAAAAGGGATTTGGGCCATCTAGGATGAGCTCGAGATTTGTGAGACCATGAGAGGGGTTTGAAGGAACATAACATGTGGACGGTAAGCGCCACGTTCATTATCTCGAGACTGCACATGCTGGGCGGCAATTGTCCGATAGATTCGGAACAGCGAGCACAAGATAAAAACCGTGTATAACGAACTCATCTAGTCCGCCGAAGTCTGCCGCCGCCAGTGGACAGCAGGTACGAGAGAATGTCCTAACAATCAGCGACGATACCTGATTGACATATGGCCCGAGCAGGCTTTGTAGCTCCGTCAAGTTATTGTCATAGCATTCGAGTGTCAATGACAGCTGACGTCCTCGTGATCGCTTGAGGCAGGAGTCATAGCACAAAAATCTCTTCCGCCAGTCACCGTACCCGGCATTGAATTGTAGCCTGCGCCATAGATCCGGCATGTCCATAGCAACCTCCCGCCATCGTCGACATACTGTGGTTAATACTAAATAGCATGGGAGCCCGACGCGGTACAGGCTTCCAGTTTCCTTCTGGGATGCAGTACAGGAAAATCTGGGCGAGGATTTCCATGGGCAAGCGCGATGAATAATTTTTGGACCGCGCAATCGTGAACTGCATTTCGTTACGTTGCCGGCGACGATAGTTGACACCGTTTTGGCTTGAGACCTCTTGCCCGACTACATCCGACAGTGACAGCTGAAGTGGATGATTATTAGTATATTCAGACGCCAACACCCCCAAAACAGAGCACTTACAATATTCTGCAGGGTACTAATGGTACTTGAGATGGCTGATAAATTGGCGTTTGTTTGCATATCGACACGAATGAGTTTGAGATTGAGATCAGAAGTGGAGAGTAATTTTGAGGTTTCGTCAACCGTCGCATCCTATTTAAATTGCAACGTCTCGCAAACCACATGTCCACGACGTCCACACCTTGCTATTGTAGTGGCTCATAGCAGGTCTTAGGTAAAATACCAACCATCCATGTTGCAAAGGGAGTCAATGGGAACGTTTGTGAAATCTGTGGGAGGGTGACATCGCTCGCCGGTAGCCTTCGACGCACTTAGGCCATCCGAGACCTTTTCTTTTCATGTGGACGACAATTGAGGGTTATAGAATTTATCGAGTTGTGCGCCCCCATTGTCACTTGTTACGGACACTGCTTACGAACGCTTACGACTTCAGTTGTATTCGGTTCCCAGAAAGCGCCTGAGTCAAAGCTCCGTCTAGCTCGGGTCGATGACATGATCTCATCGGGCTCAGGATGGGACGCAGCCAGATCGGATCCGCTGGGAGGGTAGGACAATTGCTTACGGATTTGATCATGCCCAATGACTCGATAGTTAGTTTCACGCGATGAACAGGAGCAAACAATGGGATGATGATTAAAAGATTGGTAGTACGAAACAAGGAAACTATAGAGTACTGACAAACGAAATCTTCGTAGAACTAAAGGGGGCGGCGGGTGGGTGAAAGAGGTTGTCTGTTCCAGTGAGGAGTAATACTAGCAGGTGCGACGATCTCGACATCGCGTAAGAAACGGGTGAGGAGAAAGAATGGCGCCGCCGCATGATGCCGGGATATTCCGGCAGGCTGCATATCCCGGTACCTGTCTCATCAGTGAGGAAAGTACTAGAAGACTACATCACGGTTTCTTACGCCGCCCCTGTCGGCGGCCTGCCGTGTGGTGTTGCGTATGAGCGATTGTTGATGCGAAAAACCTTGTTTTACGCATTGCTAAGCCTACTGGTGCACAGCACAGGCTGTGTCATAAATTTAATATGACTTTGATCGCAAAGTTGGTACATCTCACTGGGTTTGTCATGACCATCACCTGTCTCTTGACGCTGTTCTACATGGAATAGAACATTCGAAGGGCCGACCAACCAAGCTTCAATCCTTCTGACAGTTTTCGCTGCCGCCATCTTTGACATGTTTACGACCGCTGGTACAACGGCGTGAATGATTTGTTCTTAAAAAATCCCAACATCTCTCTGGATGTTTTTTTTATAGCTCGACACTGGTATCGTTGGTCTCCCTGTTTGAAGCAGGGCCTAATCCCGCTGATGAAACGATGGATATACTGGCCTTCTCTGTTCCTCCGAGTTGGTACGTCAAAGTTTCTTGTAATGAATATATCAACTTACTTGGTTCCAACGTTTTCCTCCTCGTGCTGGCTAGGCCGTCCGATTCACTTCAGCTGTAACGATGAGTCAGTTCAATTGAGGCATGATACTGAACATCGCAACAAACGTATCCCGCTGGTAAGTCCGGATGACGACGGGTGTGTTTTTGAATTGTTGACAATGCCCCCGTAGCTAATGCACGTGCCACGTCAGGTGACTCGACGGAAGGTTTTGCGGCAGCGTGTTGATCATATTAGGACAAAAATGACGACGGAGTCAGGTTCACGGCAATCCGTGCCAAGGCATTCGTCCTGCAGTGTGTCTATTTGATATGTCCTTCGTTGCATGCATTTTTTGTACTGTGTACTTGCACAGGAGGCATCTCCCATTCTACCGTTGCGCCGTTCCCCCTGTGGTCTCTGGCACTTAGCCCGATAGTCACCTACGCATCAGGGATCGTTACTATATCAATTTTATGTCTCCACAATGTAAGCACGGACATCCGGCGGCTCGGTGGCATGAGTAAATAACGGTTGATATTCGGAGTGAAAACCAGATTCGACAGATATCAGTAATAAAGCCCTACAAATTTAAAGTCTGCATTCTGCTGGCAAGGAACTATGCTATTCATAGGCACAGACTACGAGAACTGGCATGCAAAAGCAAGCAGCGTGCTCTCCCCAGGCATATCGTTCGAGATCTCATCACCTCACACGAATCATGCGTCTCTCCTTCGTCTGGATCCTTGGTACCAGTCTGCATTGCTGTCTCGTCTATGCCTGTCAGTGAAGATGACATTGCATGCCCCATGCTTTGCGACTCATTCATAGACTGCTGCCTTGGACGTGACTGTCTGTCGATATACATACCTAGCAGTGTAAGCATGAGTAGGTTTCTTTGCAGAATTGCCCCACTGACCTGCTTCGTAGGAACAAGTTATAAATGTGTGTCGAATAGTGGAGTATGAAGAGTTTGCTCTGCAGAAGATTTATCCATGTTGACTGTCCTGATAGCGTCGTTTTGGGACCGCCTACACAGGATGAGGCAAGCCTGAGCAGCACGTCGCAATCGTACTAGTACCAGTAGTGTATGATGGGTACTGTTCTGTGTTTCAAAGTGGATAACCTTGAATCATTAGATCATAAATTAGCCCAAAGGCAATATTTTCAGTTAGGCGTTTTCATTTGAAGGACAAGAAATGAGAGATTGATGAATTTTGATGGCGGTTATAACGATGGTCTCTAACTTATCGTCCCATACACCGCGAGCCCAACCTACACGACCACCTCTCCGCTCACGCACCCCATGAACAGCGCATCTACACTACCGCCTGTCTTCTCATCCAGCCATGCATCGAACTCCTCAAATAGTTTCATCGCTTGATGTCCATCCGCGTCAGCTTTTTTTGCGGGCCACATGCGCTTCTCCTGGATCCCAATGAAGTCCACCCTCAACCCATCCACATCAGACGATCTGGATGCGCATTCGGGGGCGGCCACTTGATCGTCATGTCCACCGTCCATACGTCAGTCCCGTAGAATGATGCTTCTTTGATGTGGTGTCGTGCAAATTCCTCCGGTGGGTTGTTATCTAGCGTCCACTCTAGTACATGCGCATCGAATGCAATCACTGCAAGAAGAATTTGGTCTACGTGACATCAAGGTGACCCAGCATATATATATAAACTCACCAGTCCACATTATCCCCGGGTGATCGATCTTTAATGTCATAGTCCTGGTTCCCTTACTCTCATCGAAGGTATCATTGACAGCTGAAACCGTGAACTGCTCTTCTGGCGGCCAAGGTGCATCATACGCGGGGTCGAGCGGGAGGTCAATCTTGTACGGTGAGAGGAACTGCGTGACGTTCAACGAAGATGCCGTATTCGATCGCAAATTAATAAACCATACGTCAGCATCCCCATAAATGTCGGCTGAATGTTTTTAAGTCTCACCGCTGAAAATGGATACAACGTATCCCAATCACTGTTCCAGTCATCCATGACAATAGCCTTGGGAGGCATCCCAGATGCGCCGAAGTGTGCCGTGATGTCATGCACCAAATCGTCAAACCCAGGCGCGCCATCTGCCGCTGCGATATGGAGGTGCTGCTCCCGTGTGTTCAACTAGATCGTTCGCGCTCAGTTTCTTTCACAACCCGCAGAGAAACTAGCACTCACGTCTTCCTTATGAAGGACAAACAGCCTCTTTTGATGATCTCTATCAAACACCTCCTTCCTGGCAAACACTGCCATCACTACGCCCACTACAAGGAGTAAAATCGTGACTGCTTTACGCAGAACAGGCAGATCAAATCGGTGAACGAATGGCATAGTGAAATTAAGTGTGTAAGAACCCAAGATCGCCACAATGGAAGCGATGATGTATTCTGCTGGAGCCTCAGAGCCAATACGCCCAGTCTGTGAAAAATGTATGAGAAGGGAGGTCCACGGAAACATAAATCACTTGCCAGCGGTACGAACACAACCAAAGTCGCAGAAGCCAGTTGAGTCCCCGTCAACAGTGGGATGGTCTGGCCCAGAGCATATGTCCACAGGCTTACCGAACCGTCATTGGCCTCCGAATTATCCACCTTATTGCGCCCATCCTCCGCTCCTTTCACATCCCCATCTCGCTTTTCTGCTGCATGCATCATTTCTATTCCAGCATCATTGTCGGAGGACGCGCTCAAGTAGTAGGTCACACGATCGACAAGTAAGGCCCCAAATGTCGAGAGTGCACTAAGGAAGAACACCGCACTTGATCCAACACCAGCGAACTGGCCCGCTACGGCCAGGAACGCATAGGCAAGGAGTTGTGCATGCAAGATGGCTTTTTCAGGGACTGGGGCCAATGACAGTTGAGTTATGAGTGCTCCTGCGTGGATAAGTTTGTGTGAGTCATGACGCCAGGAAGGCATTGAAACGAAATAGATATAATTCTGGGTGCAAAACACGAAATAAGATCCGAGTCAATTCGAGAATAGGTTGGTGTGGAAAATTATAGCACAAGTCGAAGTAAAATCACGCACCGCACATCGCCGCGGGGCCATACAATATTAACGGCTCAAACTCGCCCTTGAACCAGCTCATTCCCCGGCCCAACACCTGTTGCATCATAAACGCAACGGCGTTCGCTCCAACAAGAGCTCCCAGGCCTCCTAAAACTACAGAAAATAATGCCTTGGCCATCGTTACACCTCTCGCACTGGGCCCGCTAGCGCTTCTGACAAGCACACAACTAGCAATGAAAAGTAGCGAGTACAGCACCTTAGCTGTGCGGAACGAGTAGACAAAGAATACGCCAAGGTATGTAAAGAAGACGGTGCGAGGGCGGCCGTAGCCTGAAGCGAGCCCTGGTAGCGGTGAGGCAGGTGAGGTGAGATGTTCAATGAGCGCAAATGTGTTCTCGGCCATGTGCTGGAGTGAGGGAGACAATGATCAATCACATGATCAGATGTAGGAGGTTAGGATAACAGACCTGTGCAACGCCTGCCTCAATGTTTTCTACCAGATCCTGTACTACATCAGTATATCCCGGTATAGTTTGTCAAGTTGCATACCCCGCGCATGTGGTACAGATAACTGTTACCTACAACTGCCATCTACGTGCAGTTAGCGTTGAAAACTTTACCGACGAAAAGAAGGAAGGTCAGACGTACATCAAGCCCGGTGACGTTCAAGTAGTACTCAAACTGCCGGAAATCAGTGCTTATAGCCGACAGCATGAATATTGGTGTAAGAAATAAGGGGAAGACAAAGAGACATACTCAGAGAGTAGCACGCCCGAGCTAAAGATCTCGTTTGCAAAGATGGTTCCGTATGGTCTGTGTACATTTGCATTGGCACTGAGACCAAAAGAAAAAAAATCAATAACACTGACCGAGGCACATGCGAATACGCCTGAATCATCTCGTGAGACGTCGCCTGGAACAGAAGTTCAGGGCCTGTGGTACCAGCAGCTACAGACTCGTGTCAGGTGCATGAACGAGTGTCCCATATGTGAACAGCTGACCTTCCAAATTGATGACAGCACGGACACTGGAAGAATAATGTAAGGTGAAATGGAACAGGAGTGATAACTATGGGACACACGTGGACGCAATAGGATGCTGGGTCGAGAAAAGGTGAGAACCATCCTGGAGAGACTCCTCCGCATTATTGAACACTGTGGCTGCATTAGCATAGATCCTACTAGTATGACATCGTAGATAGACAAAACTCACGAAATATAACTGCATGCTTTGGCTCCCACCCAGGGGTATCCACCAGCACCCGCACGCACTCGATCATCACGCCAACCGCGAGCGCGTCATCTGCAGCGCCTGGACTAGGAAGGGTACTATCAAGATGTGAGTTGACAAGCACTGCATCAACTTTTCCCTGGTCCGTGCCATCGCTGAGGCGTATGATGATATTACTCAAGTTGACATAATGTTTATACAGCCGCGCAGCCATCATATCGAAGCTATCGAGCACGCCGGGAGGCTGTATAAGACACGGAAGATCATTGGAAGTGATGAAGTAGATGACGTACCGATGACTACCACTGCCCTCTTGCCTCCATACCTCGCATTGGAGCTTACGGCCGGGTTGAGCGGCTACGACACGCTCACACTCCTCTTTGAGCTGGTAAGCCTTCTCTGTCATCCAAGCATCTGCGAGTGCGTGTTCGCGGGTACCAGGCGTGCGGTATCCGATATCCTCTGACAGGTACTTGGCATATTGTAGGATTGTTGCTTCAGAGAGCTGAGGCAAGGAAGTCGTAGGATTATATCTGGTGGTTGGGATTCAGGTTGGGTTCAGCGGAAAAGCAAACATTTGTTAGTCAATATTGATTCGAGTCAAGACATGAAGGAAAAACGCACTGGTCTACGATGGGCGTAGGTAATGCTGCGGAGCGAAAAATAAGCTGACAGGGTTCAAAGTGGGATCGATGACAAGAACACGTACAATACTGGTGCTTCAATGCAAGCCATGGCAATCCAATGAGCAGCGGTACTAGCGCGAGCAGAGACTGTGCTGGCCCCCATTGTCGCGTTCTAACCATGGTGTCCAGATTCTAGGTCAAGTCAACTTGTTCGACCTCACTGTTTAGGCGGTTAGCTGCAAAGCAAAAGGTGCTCAACAAACAGAAATTTTGTGTAGTACTATATGTATCACTACAGTAACATGCGTCGTGACTCAAGCAACTTGGAAATCGTTTCAACAAACAACGAGCGCAAAGTGTATTAAAGTATTATAATAAATAGAACACGTGACCTATTTTGATTGGCTGCTGTCCAACCATACTGGTTTTGGGATTGTGTATGTACATGTCCGGACATGGCTGCTAAGCGGAGTTATATATCATGTACGTGCGGAACTTACCGGACGGCCATACTTGCCTTTAAACAGTCTGTCCAAAGAGATCATGATGAATTCTCAACAGATTGGGTGTCCGCCGAGCCGCATAACCACTACCCCGCTAGTGCACAGCGCTGCAAATCAATGATGTACAGGAACATGCAAGAACCCATCGTAGTAGTTGCT